ATACCAAGTTTGTCACGTCGCAAACCTGAAGAGGCATGGCCGGCACCCGGTGCCATACTTGGCCCGAGCATACCACTCTGTAACTGGGAACTCTAGAGGGGAAACCCTCAACTTAGGCCAATGAGGCCATATTCCGAATCGTCAGAAAATAATGCCTCTCTCATCTATGGGGTAAACATACACAAAAGTTGATATATATAACTATGCAGGCCGATGAAGCCGCCATGAACATCTACTGATATATAAAATATACAGGACACGACTACAAGCCTCTAGAGATAACTGAACTGTACCATGGTCGGGACAGGGCCTCGACTTACCCATCAAACCTGTATATATAAAATGGAATCCAAGGTCTAGACCTGGTAACTCCGAGGAAGTGGAGCTTACCAACCAAGCTGAGGTTTGACTCTGTCTGCTGGAAGGGTCTGTCCAACTATCAAGGAGGACCTGTAGGCATGAAATGTAGCATCCCTGGCAAAAGGGCCGCCAGTACGAAATAATGGACCGAGTATGTAAGGCAATAGAATAACTGAAAGCTGAAATTGAAGTGATAATATAAGAACTGAAAGTAACTGGGAGTCAAAGATAATATGAAGATATACTTACCTGCTGATACTGACTCAATTCTCTTAATATAGTAAGTAAAATAGCTATCCGGCCTTATAAGGCTCGGTATGTGTAATAGCTCTACCGTAGTAGGCACACTCATAGGCGCTCGACCACAGTAGGCTCGGTATATAACTCACCATCTGATCAGAGGTTGCCCAATAGGGGCCTGCCCACCGATTATGGCTTGATGGTGGTGAAAATACTGTAATATTGTATATATATGTAGACCCTCTGCTCTCATGACTGGAAGGAGACAGTACTCAATTGAATATAAAGCCCCGATAAGGGAGAATACTGTAACTTATGAGACTAGGATAATGTATATAAATTTAGAAATACGGACTTCTCTTTATGCCTCGTTATCAAACTCATGTAGTTACGAGATCATGCCAAAATGAAGGAAGGGCTTAGTTTTTCGGAGAATAAACGACGAGAAATGATATGAGCTTCCGATTCTCACCTCGATACTCCGTGTCAGAAACGACAAAATGAAAGAAACATCTCGTCAGTCACGTCTCAAGCTTGTCAGCAGCTAGTTGGCCACTTCTGAATTTGAACCGCTGTTTGAAAACTATAAATACCCCCTTCCTTATCCATTCAAACTTTACTTTCAAACTTTCTACCCTTGCTTCTTTGCAATTTCTCCATTTTCTAGCACTTATACTCTGATTTCTAGAGATCCTTTCTGAATGATTTTGTTTGTCTCCACCCCAAGTAATTTAAGCTTACTGCTCTAACTTCCTCTTCTTCTCTTTTCCTCCATCTTTAAGAGAAATGGCGAAAACTTCAAACATAGTTCCCCAAAAAGAAGCTTCTTTTACATCACGACCGGTCAGCAAGGAACCAACGGCGGAACCTCCTCTTAGCACGTTCAATCCTGGCGGGTGCTCAGTGACCGCCAATTTTAAGGTTGAAAAACCTTCACCCGTACCGGGCCGGGGTGAGAAGGTTTCAAGGTACATCTGCTCGATCACTGAAGACATTCTCCCACGGTTAAATAGGATTGCAACTGGGTCGGCAAAGACGTGGTGGTTCCCGAGCCCGATGAAGATATCACTACCCACGTCGAGGGATACTTAAGTGTTTACACTTATCCCTTTACGTTGGACCCATTGGACCCGGTAATCATCCATTTCTCCAAAAGGTATGAAGTGTGCCTTGGTCAGATCTACCCTTACTTATGGAGAATCATCATCTTTCTCCAATTCTTTGTGAGCAAGATCGACGGCTGCTCATTCACTATTGACCACCTTATGCGCCTATACAGTCCCCGGCGCTTATGGAGAATCATCATCCTTCTTTCTTATCGGTGCTCGGTGGTGAGCAGCTGTTGCTCGGGTCCCGAATGCATTCCATCGACTCAAGGAGTAGTTCGAGGGCCTCATATCCCAAAAGCCATACTCCGAGCGTGCATGGCGCGAGCTCTCGAAGGGCCGGTAGGAGGCCCGTTCTCACGGTGAGTTTCCGTTCCTGAGTGAATAATACTTGGTTTTTTTTGTGTCATTGATTTCTTACTCGTTTCGTTTCCCTTTGCAGGTCTTTCCAAGGATGTCTCCATAAGTGTCACGCCCCAAACCTGAAAAGGGGTAGCCGGTATCCGGTGCCATACTCGGCCCGAGCGTACCATTCTATTATTGTGAACTCTAGAGGGGTAACCCTCAACTTAGGCCGATGAAGCCATATTCCGAATCGTCTGAAAAATAACGCCTCTCTCATCTATAGGCTAAACATACCCAAAGCTGATATATATAACTATGCAGGCTGAAGAAGCCGCCATGAACATCTACTAATATATAAAATATACAGGACTCGTCTACAAGCCTCTAGAGATAACTGAACTGTACCATGGCCGGGACAGGACCTCGACCTACCCATCAAACTTGTATATATAAAATGGACTCCAGGGTAGAACCTGGTAACTCCGAGGTAGTGGGGCTTACAAACCAAGCTGATGTTTGACTTTGTTTGCTGGAAGGGTATTTCCAACTGTCAATGAGGACCTACGGGCTTGAAATGCTGCATCCGCGGCAAAAGGGACATCAGTGCGAAATAATGTACCAAGTATGTAAGGCAACAAAATAACTGAAAGCTGAAACTAAACTGATAATATAATAAGTGAAAGTAACTGGGAGTCAAAGATAATCTGAATATATACCTACCTGCTAATACTGACTCAATTCTCTCAATATAGTAAGTAAAATAGTTGTCTGGCCTTATAAGGCTCGGTTTGTGTAACTACTCTGCCGTAGTAGGCTCGCTCATAGCCGCTCGGCCATATTAGGCTTTGTATCTCGGCCATTCTAGGGAGAATACTATAACTTATGAGACTAGGATAATGTATATAAATTCAGGAATACGAACTTCTCTTTATGCCTCGTTATCAAACTCATGTAGTTACGAGATCATGCCAAAATGAAGGAAGGGCTTAGCCTTAACACGCCTAATCCGATTCTCTTCACAATCCCTCTAATACACATCAATAGCGACAAAATACGTAACGGCGGATCGAAGTAGGGGAAAATCCGTATGATATTCTTGAGAAAGATTGCACCATACTCCCTTAGAATCGCAAATATCACGTTGCTATAGCGTTATGAAATTTCATATGAATTCATGTTGAGAATCTGATTTCCGAGAGTTAAAGTACATTCCATGTTGTGAATGCCTCTATTACTAGCACATACACCTCCACAATAATGATGTAGGAATATGAATTCATTTTGATAATGCCTCTGTTACTAGCACACACATCTCCATTCTCCATAATAATGATGTAGGAGATAATGATGTAGGAAGATTGTCTTAAGACTTTTGGTTGTGGGCCCCACTTTAGGGGATGACTAAGCCACAAATACTCTCTTAAAATGCCACCTTGTAATGAGAGTTAAGAGTCATTATTAATGCCTCTTCGGGCTGCCACGTTGGGGGCGGGGGGTTACACTTATCCAAAAATTAACCCCTTTCCCTAATCAACTTATTAATTCCCAACTAATCCAGTAATAACCAATTACCCACATAATTAAAAATTATCTCAAATTACTTAAAATATTACTCATATATAACACATGTTATACACCTCACTATCATGGTCATGTGGTACCTTTTATGGCATTAGTCCATAAATACGGGATATTATATCTAGGACCATATTTTATCCCAAAATTGCCAAACTTCGACGAAAGTAATTTTTTCGATTCGCTTACCCTTTCTCCTTCACGAATTTACTCATCACTTGTTTGAAATAGCATAATTCTTATAATCTCAGAATAACCTCATTCCCAAACTTACGTCGATTAACTTACGACAAAACTTTAACGTACAAAAATGCGGGATGTAACATCTCATTTTCCGAGCTTCCATCAATTTACTTATGGCGTACTTTCACGTACGAAAACATGGGGTGTAACAATAAGGCCTCCATTCGGTGACGAGGATGGCCCCACCGAGTCCCCTGCTTCGAGATAGGGTGGGGAGAAGAAGAGAAAAAGGGCTTCGAGTTCTCCAAACTCGGAGAAGAAAAAACCGAGGAGGAGGCTGGTGCACTAATCTAAAGAAAGCACCAGTTCTCAAGTAACATCATCGGACTCTCTGCGCCGACTGAGCAACGAATCTGAAGAAGAAGCCTCTGAACTGGTGGCCCGTGTGTGGTCAGGGTTAGAGGTACGAGGGGCCTCTGAGTCAGAGAGATGTGAGGATGATCTGCCTCGAGCAAGGGAGGTCGACAAAGAGGTCGTGGTCGGGGCCAATCTGGAGGTCGTGATCGAGGCCAATGCGTAGGCCGTGGTCGAGGCCAATATGGAGGCTAAGGTCGAGGCCTCCCGGGATGAGGGTATAGCCCAGGAGGATGCACTCGGTGTGATATACATCACCGAGTCCCTTCGTTCTCTGAGTCTATGATCAACAAGGCTCGGGCAGTGAAACCTCGCCTTAAGGAAGGGACCCATGGAGCAGACGAACCTTTCCGCGGCTTTTTTGATGGTGTGGATTCTACCACCACGGATTAGAGGTGCCGAGGAAGAGTCCATCTTTGGGAAAAAGTGGGCCTTCCTCGATCCTGAAATAAATCAATGGGTTCCTAGCTCCAAGCGTGGATCCTGACCGAAAGCGATCGATCATTATCTCGATTCTGGAGAATGCCCGGGTCCTTTCTGCCCCTGTAGGTGTGGCCAGTTACCTTCGGTGCTTGGTGACCGAGGAGGACCAAGCCAAGATGAACAAGGTGGAAGCGCCTTGCCTGTTCAATGAAGCTCAACAAGCATTAAACCGGGTAACTTCAGATACCTTTTGATGATTTCTAGTTTGTACTTAGATCAATTTGTATATGATCATAACTTCTTTCTCTGTTTTTGTAGGCCTTGGTACTTCATCACGAGACTTTTCTCTGATATATGGAAGAGCTAAACCAATATGAGGCCGAGATTCGAGGGCTTACTGAGAAGAGAGATGCTTACAAACATCTCAGTGAGAAAAGTGAAGGGGAGGGTAAGAGCCTCCTAGCTAAGCTAGAGGTGGTTCAGAAGGAGCATGCCGACCTGGTTGAGTAGGTAAGAAGAGTATTTGAGGTTAGTGATGATGAGTCGGACATGGTGACTAACGGTCCGAACCCGCAGGTCCAACAGAAGCTTGATCAGATCGAGCAGCTACGGACAGAGGTATATACGGCGAAGGCCGAGGCCAAAGAATGGAAAAGCAACATGGACCGCTTGGCCTCGGAAAAAGAGACTGCTCGGGCACAATTGTCTTTGGCTGAGTTCCATCTTCGAGCTGTAAAGGAAAGGGCCTTGGTGCAGGCCAAAAAGATCGAGGAGCTCCAGTCTCAGCCAAATTTGGCTGTCTACGATCGAGAAAATCTGTCCAAGGAGCTTGAGACGGCCAAGTCGGAGGCCAAGGTGATTAAAGTCGATGCCGATGAGATGGTGGCCGTTTATAAGGCCGATGCCGAGGCGGCTCAGGTTCGAGCAAAGGATATCATCGAGCATGCAAAGCGGCAATCTCGAAGGGAGGCCCTCGAGAAAATTCATGCTCAGGGTTTTGACTTATCGCATGAGATTGAGAATGCCAAGGGGCTCAAAGCCGAGGCTGAAAAATTGGCCTATCTCGAAGATGATATTGATTCCGAAGATTTGGGCGAGTCTGAGGGTGGAGGAGACCCCGAACGTGATGCGGCCCCCGGTGAAGACTAGGCCACTTAGGCTCATTTTTTTTTAGTATTACCTTTTTTTTGAGGCCGTTTGGACTTTGTAAAAAATTTATATCAAGGTTATCTAGCCTTTGTAAAAATTTTGACATGTATATAAAGCCTTTTTCCCTCCAGCAGTTTCTGAATTTTTTCCTTTGCTTTATTATTTATGATTGCAAAGATTAAAACGCCTTAGCAAGAAACAGTTAGGTTATATTAGTAGGTTCGAACAAGCCTTGCCTTCAACATTATTTTGTTTTTAAGGCATCGTGGGGGTTCGGTGTGACCGAATTTTTTTTCCCAAAGTACTTATGCTTTTTAGATTATAGTTTGCCAAGGGTAGCTTTTAGAACTGGTTAAGAAATTTTAAGGCCTTGTTGTTTTTTCTACGGGTCTCAGACATCTTCGAGCCGCGTTAATTTGGCCGTAGCTGCTGGGGCCAAATGCACATGCAAGTATACGCGATCGTCAAGTAATAAAGTGACTAAAAGTCGGATGTCGAACCCACAAGGACTTATGATTAACTATTAACTAAATTAGACTATCCTAATTATCTAAACAAGAACCACAACCTTAGAACGTGAAGTTTAGCTCCACATAGACATGGTAGTCAAACAACAAATCATACAAAGAGACATAAAAATTACAAAGTTTGGTGGAAAAAAAGATGAAACTCGGCCGCCACAGCGGCTCTATGCTCTCCCTTCGTCAAAAGTTGTGTAAAAATTATGTTTAAGGACTATTTATAGATGTAGGAAAAAGCCTAGGCGAAATAACCAAGTCCAAAACAAAAAAAGAGACAAACTAACTTCAGAAACGGACACCGCGCGTCGCCAGGCTAAACGCGAGACACATCCTTCGCGCCGCCTGCTGCTCAATTTATTTCTCCAATTTGATTCTTGTTAGTGCCTAACTTTCATTCCAAGATTCATGCAACTCAAAACCAAAGACGTTGCCATTCCAGGTAATCAACCAAAGTTCTCATCTTCTTTTTCGTTAATTTCCCATTTGCATAGCTTATCTCTGTTCACTAATTTCTTTGTGCTCTTTGCTCCAAATTTTATCTCAAAGTACCTACATTATGCATTAACACCCAAATAAGTGTAAAACTCCATAATTAAGTTAATTTGGACATATTCACTATCATATATAACCAAAGAGCGGTAAAAATACGAGTAAATTAATATCGAAGCATATGAAAATATGCCAAACATCACTACCCCACACTTAAACCTTTGTTCGTCCTCGAACAAACAACTATAATAGACGAACAAAATTAAGCTCCTACAATTCAAAACATGCTACACGTATGAACATTGTCGATTGCAACAATTAAACTTTATCATATGCATTCCACACACACTTCCCATAACTCATGCCACACTTCAAAAATAATCAAAACAAAGTCAACATGCTCATAACAATCCTAGCCTCAAAGACCGACTCATGGCTTGAACACCCAACGTCGTAGAGAAGTCTAATAACGTTACCTATCCGTCGTGAGACCATGTGCCCTCACAACAAGAACAAGAGAGCAAGTTCAATCCACACAGTCGAATCTCATGATCAAATATATATCTTAATGACTCATATATATCAAAGAAAATCACTCACTCACACAAAGAAGTCACGTGCATGCAATTGGTACCAGATGCTTGCCCATAATGTAAATCTCTACTAATGTAGGCTCACTCGATCTAAAATCAATTAGGACTTTTTTGTGGTTGTAATGTGGGGTAAGGGGCAGGTAGGATATATTTAGGAATAGTGACTCAACCTCCTAAGCACTTTAGCACATCAAAAAATTACCTTAAGCGTATTTTCTTCAACACCACTTCAATTTCACAAACAATATCACCCCCAAAAACGTTCCCTTTTTCTTTAAGCACTACTTTAATTCATACCTACTAGCAAGAACAAGACAATAATTTATTCATCTATATTTTTCCTTCTTTTTTTCCAGATTTTTCCCTCTTTTTTCCCAACTATTTTTTTTTTCAATTTCTGCTAGTGGTATTATTTTACAAAACAAGTGCATCTTTCTTCCTTTCATTGGTTCCACTCAAAAGCCATCCCACACTTAGTCCCTTCTTACTTCTTTTAGAGCTCATTTCACAATTAAAGTGCTTTAAGAGGTAAAAGGATCAAAACAACGTCAATTAAAAACAAAAGGGTATAGGCTCGTAATGTGGGTGCCAAATAAAAGTCTATAGGCTCAAAAGGGTCACTAGGGATAAATTTTATTTATGGTAAGCAATGCGCTCAAAAAGATCAAAGAAAACCTAAAATCATTTCTCAAACCGAGCATCACCTAAGATTTCCGCTTTGACTCACATACCTGGCAAGTTTTAGACTCAATCACAAAAACATGGACTACACAAAAACCTCACTAGAGATGGCACTTGACTCACTATGGACGGACCCATTCCGACTCTCAAACCATGCAAGTATTCACGGAGCCACGAGATATTAAGCAGTAAGCGCAAAGTGAACACAAGTCAAGAAATGAGACATAGGTGTTACAAAACATGCAATCCCATTTATAAAGGCATCATGATCAATTTTAAAACATAGGGAAAGTACTACACATGCCAAATCCTAAATATGCTACTATCAAACAAGTCAAGAGCGCATAGGAATCTCATATTTCTTCCTCCATTTATTTCCTTAAATTCTAGTCTACTCTAAAAATTGAAAAACTACTACCCGGGTCAAACTACATCCCATGAAAAAGAAGCGAGGCACAAAGAAAAACCACGGGGATTATTACTACCAAAAAACCAAAAAGACATACTTTTGTATTATTTTTTTGCTAGACTTTAATCCCTCAAGAAAACTGTCTAGGAGATCCATCGTCAGGAAAAGTCCAATATTTTTCAATTTTTTTTTTAATTTTAAAATTAATCACCTAAAATACTACACTATTATAAAAAACAGAAATAAGAAAAAAAAAGAAATTAACATACTAAAATAATACTACTAATGATCTAAAGGAATTTCTGTCACCCCATACTTAAAAGAGTGCAGTGTCCCCAATGCACAAATAAAGCAAAAAATAACCAGGGTGGACAAGAAACTCCCTGAAAGGCCAAAGGTTGTAGCACAAGCAGCTCACGGGGTACTCAGACTTCTCTCAAGGATGGTCCTTTGTGTGGACACCCCACACTTAGTCCTCACCATCTAGCTCGCTTTTGCACTCTTCCAATGGCTTTGCTTCCTATGCTGATAATCCTACAAAATCAAAACAAACACTGCAAAATAATATCATAAAAATAAAAGAAATCAGTAAAGTTGGGTTGCCTCCCAACAAGCGCCTGATTTAACGTCGCAGCACGACTTGAACCAATTTCTGCCTCCACCTCGAACTTATGAATTGTACCCCTAACATGGAATCCAGTCTGTGGCTATGCTCCTTTGGTGGGGATACAAAAATAAATAGGCTAAGTAATAAATTTTTCACTCTATGCTTCTCGGCCATTATATGAGGAATGTAATTTTTTCTCTTTGGCACAACAAATTCAAGAATATAGGCACTCTCATCCTCACCCTTTGACTCTCTCATATGCTCAGATAGCTCGATTAATATCTTACTATCTAAACACAGTGTGGAAACATGATTAGAATGAGGTCTAATGCGCCCTAACTCATGAATTGTACTGCTATTTATATCCTCATTTATACACAAACTCATTTCTCTAAAAGTAATGTTATCTACTCCCTCACATGACTCTAGAGCACTCTTCTCTACATTGGCATCCTCAATCAAAACATGGTCTAATGATTGGTATTCTCGTTTTAGCTCCTCAATTTGGACTAGAAGATTTCTTTCAACTTCACACAACTCATCATTAAATTGTTGAGCGTTACACGCATCAATATTTGCACTCAAATCTGCATCCAAGTTATACACAGCCAAGCCAAAATTATCAATTTTATGTGCAAGATCATCTCTCTCTTTAGACCAATCATTCACCAATGTTGTTAGTAAACAACGTCATTCCGAAGATTCCCGTAATCGAGAATATCAGTCCCAATACCAACCCTTACTCCCATATTCAAATTCAGACCTCCCAGAGTTCAGGTCATGACAAGCCCAAAAAGACGGGCCATAAAAATCTTCCGTCAACCAAGCGTCTTCATCAATAACCTTACCTCCGGATATTTCATCCCCAGATGTCATGTTGAGAGAACTATAAGCACACTAAGAGAAATCAAATTGTTATAAAAATAAAAATATTTACAAAAAAAACTTGTAAAGATAAAAGTAAAAGTCTAATCTAGAGAATAGCTAATTTTAAGTCCCCGGCAACAGCGCCAAAAACTTGTTGTGGCCAAACGCATACGCAAGTATACGCGATCGTCAAGTAATAAAGTGACTAAAAGTCGGATGTCGAACCCATGAGGACTTGATTAACTATTAACTAAATTAGACTATCCTAATTATCTAAACAAGAATTAAACCTAGAAATATTTGATTCTAAACTAATCAAGATAAAGGAAAATAAATGGTGAACTCTGAAAAAGGGAAAAGCAGATTTTTATGATATCAAGGTAATGAAAACGATCTAGGGTCATGAGCTATCTAACATTCTTACTGTATTCTTCAATTGAATTGACTGACTAATTTATCTAGTTTATTGGTTGACATGGTTAATATTGATCATAAGAATATGTCGAGTTCTTACTTGCCTATTCAAGCTAATCTAACGCCTATATGTCTATAGAGTTAGAATCAACAAGAACACATTTATAACTCATGTGCATCAACCAAGCAAGGCAATTAGGTATATGTCTATCCTAATCGCGAATCCATTCCTCGATGCCCGGATTCAAGAACTTTCTCTACTCAATCCTATATGCAATCTAGAATTCTCACTTTCGAGTTCAATTCAAGATACGTAGATAGTATTCAATTGGTGATCAAGCAATCAAATAATTAAGTGCAGGATTAAATAAATAAACCAATATGATAAACTAAGAAATCAAAATCAATATCCGAATAAC